TCAGCGGGTATCCTGACGAATGAGTTACCGAAGTAAAGTAATAAATCTAGTAAAAACTAAATAACCATATCAGTCGCGTATTTATAAAACGAAATGATATCAGTACCATATTTAAAAATCGATAGTAAAATTAATAGTACTTACCGAAGTTTCGCTGACTGCTTAAGCGTCCGCATCTTTGAGATCAGACCTTGCACAGCAGCCAAATCTTCGTCGTGCTTTGCCAAAAGTTGTTGAACCGCCCGATTTAGTCGGTGACTAGCACATCCGACGAATGGCACTTGCATTATGGTTGCGAGTCTCCTGTTCACAGAACAGTTGGCCCCAACCACGTACTGGCAGCAGCTTAGATCGTTCCTATAATATCTTTCGAGCATTCTCACTAGATAAGCGCGGTGGGTGCGGGCTGACATGTCCTCGTCCGGCTCGTCGATGACCGAGGCCATGATAAGAAGCGCAGTCTTAGCAGCACCATTATGATCGCAGTACGCAAACACTGCGACGAAATGCTCGGATGAACGAGTCCACCCATCGGACATAAGGCCAAAACCATCTGGCAACTCCGCCGCAACAGCAGCTTCCACGGAACGGGTGACGCCTACGAGTAGTGTGCGTAGCGTTTCCACCTAGATTGGCTCCAAGGAAGTGCATCTAATCAAAGCAATACGATTTTAGTACTATAATTATCAGAAATAGTAAGAGTAGTCTTTACCGGCGAGCGAGAGTACTCTCACGGAACATGAAAGACAGATTTGCCTTCACGATCCACTCGAGCCAGCCAGACCGGTGCGACGGGTATAGTGCACCACAGAACCTGTCTGCGCACATGCAGGAGGTTGATCAAGCCATTTGGATTCGACTACTCGTGCACTTTGCTGCAGCGGCACCGGAAGTACTCAGGCACAGTCTCATCATACTGATCTCGGCATGATGTAAAGAAGTAGATCGCAATCTGAGGGTTAGAAAAGGCTGCACCGGCACGAGGCGTAGAAAGCATGGCGTTAGGCGTGTTTTTTAGCTGTATACAAAGCAAAGAATTCTAAAAAGTGAGGAGACAATGTGTCCGAGAGAAGGAAGAATAGAT